TGTTGTAGATGTTCAATATGTTTAGCTTCATGCTTAAGGTGTTGTAGATGTTCAATTTCTTTAGCTTCATGTTCAAGATGTTGTAGATGTTCAATTTCTTTAGCTTCATGCTTAAGGTGTTGTAGATGTTCAATATGTTTAGCTTCATGCTTAAGGTGTTGTAGATGTTCAATTTCTTCAGCTTCATGTTCAAGATGTTGTAGATATTCAATATATTTAGCTTTATGGTTAAGGTCAGGTGTTGATTTACCGGAATCGGAATAAAAGGCTTTTACATCGGGCGTTGTAGTGCCCGATGTCACAGTCGTAATCGTTTCCTTGATAATTTTTTCCGCAGGTTTGGTACTTTCCGTCAATTTTTCTAATAATTCCTCGCCGGCCAAAGTGTCCGTGCTCTCTTTGACGTCTGTCTTTGTGGTAACTTTTCCGTCCGGTCCAGTAATCGTGGTTACAGTCGTCACGATTCGCTTTATATCGGCGCTGGCTGCGTCAGACGCACCTTCGTCGCTCACAACCTTGTAAGTTGAACCTGAGGTAGAATCTGTGTAAATTTTCGAAGGATCAACTTGCGCTAATTCGGTATCTGCTAATTCCTCTGTCACAATTGTTCGCGTTGTTGTTGTTGTAATAGTCTTCATATATTCGTCAGAATCTTCCTTCGAGTCACTGGTTTCTTCATCAGGGATAACAATCTCGCGTCTGATCACTTTTGTGATAATTTCAGGCTCGTCTTGCTCAATAATTTCGCGTTTGACAACTTTAGTGACTACTTCCGGCTCGTCATGTTCCATAATTTCCTTCTTAATAATCTTGGTAATCGCTTCAGGCTCATCTTGTTGAATACTCGACTGTTTAATTCCTTTGATTGTTTCTTGTGGTTCAATTTCTTTCATGACTTTAGTTGTCTTCCCAGATTCCTTCTCTTTAATCACTTCATGTTTGATTGTCGTCTTACTTACAATAACGTCGTCATCAGATTCGGCTGCATGATCGGATGTAACTATCCCCGCAGTTTCTTCAGGTTTATCTTTATCGACAGTTTCCGCAATCTTGCTTTCTCTCAATATCGTAACAGTTTGAGCAGATTGCACAGCCTTCGTGTCTTCCACATCTGTTTTCGTTATGTGAGTCGTGGTCAAAGTAGATTCCGATAACTTTTCAGGCACTTTACCGGTTGGTTCGATTTTGGAAGCAGCGTCATGTGTAAATTCCGGGGTCGATTTTCCAGACAATGTGGTTATATGTGTCGTTCGCATCTCCGTCATACCACCAACGAAGGCCTTGTGAAACTGGCTCTCGTAATCCGGTGGATAATCGGATTTGTCCAACTGTTGCTCATCCGATTCCGAATACATACCTCTAGCATCATGCGGCAGTTCGTAATCTACCCTTAATCTTCTCTCGTAATGATACATTGCCTTATCGTAGTCTTCTGGTTCTTCCTCTTGATAAATTTCCACATCGATCACAGATTCTCTTGGGATCTTCCTCTTTAATATAATTTCCTCTATTATCTCTAGGATAATATACCTGGGTAGAGAAGTCATGATAATTATCTCTTCGAGTATCACTTCCGTAATTTTCTTTCCTTTTTTTATATATTCTTCCTCCAAGAGTTTTTCGATTTCCATTCGCTTCTCTTCCGATATCAGGATCTCCTCATCTATATGCGGCTCTGATCGAGCTGGACTATCCTGAGTTGATTTGTCGGAAGGAATAGGTTCCGGACTTAAGCTGGGGCTAGCAGAAAGCGCCGCTTTCGAATCCCTGCCATATCGATCGCTCCCTACAGGAGATATTTTGCCATCCAGACTTTCGCCCTTCGTAGTATCGCTTGATTTTTCATGACCGTGAATGTCCTCTTGAGTAACATCTTGAGTTATTTTTTCGAAATCCACGCTAGCTGGCATGACAGGCTTCTCTCTTTTTTCAGAAATGTCCAGATCTTTTTCTCCCGGTTCTCCTAAGTCTCCTTCAATTACGGTATTCCTAGGTATCTTTTTCTTCATAATGATCTCTTCAATAATTGTAATGAGAATGTATCGCGGCACAGATTTAACAATGACCATTTCTTCCAAGGCTTCCGGCGTAATCTTCTTATTTTTTATAATAAATTCTTCAATAATATATTCTTCTACTTTCGCTCTTTCTTGCGGTGCCAGCGGTTCCGTTTCGGATTCTTTTCTGTATTGAGGCTTGGAGGAGGCTTCGTCGTCTACGAAATCGAAGACTGCACTTCTAGGCATATTTTGCCGGTTAATAATATCCTCTATTATCTCCATCACTATAAACTGGGGCACCGAATACGTCATAACTAATCTCTCGATTACCGTCAGACTGATCTTTCTTTTCCTCACGATGAACTCATCTAAGATGTATTTCTCGATCTCCGCCTTCTTCTCAGCTGTCACTTTAATAACATCTTCTTCTTCTTCATCGTCTGATTTCTCTACCTTGCTCGGCTGTCCGACATCTGGTTCTTTAAAATCGGCAAATCGTTTCTCGCGGATCTTCTGCATTTTTTTCTCGATTGTCTCAGGAGAAGTTATAGGACTCTTACTATCTTTCTTACATTCATCCTTCTCGTCAAGTGGTTTCTCCGTGTCGAAATGTTTTTCCTCTTGAGAAAGTGGCTTCTCTGATAATTTGTCATCGAATAAACTGGCTGTTCTAGATCTGGCCGGTGTTTTCTCACCAGCATCAAAGACGCTTTGCGAACGTGATCTATCCTTCGGAGTTTTATCCACTGGCGAACTAGCTCGCGACGATTTAGCAGATTCATCTTTTGGGATCTTTCCGGTATCCAAACTGGGCGAAATTGATCGTTCTCCCTTTGCTTCTGGTATTTGTGAAACTTTAATATCATCAAGCCTCTCACTGGCAACACTGGATGATCTAGACTTGTTCTTTTGATCGTCGATTAAACTTGGCGAAATTGATCGTTCTCCCTTTGCTTCTGGTATTTGCGAAACTTTAATATCATCAAGTCTCTCACTGGCAACACTGGATGATCTAGACTTATCCTTTTGATCGTCGACTAAACTCGGTGACTTTGAGATATCAGATGGTGATTTCGGTTCTGTCTTATCACTGATAATGCTTAATGATCTTGTTTTATCGACAAAATCTGAATCGCCGATTACGCCAGACGTTTTTAATCCGTCGACATCTATTTTCTCTATTGGCTGTTTATTGTCATCTATCGGCTTATCAAAAACAATGCTTGGAGATACCGGTCTGTCATGCGATATAATATCGTCTGACTTAATGTCCATTTTTCCGGAAACTGTTGAAGGTTTCTCCTCCATAGCTTTTTCGTGCGGTATTTTCACGTCGACGAAATTTGGGGATTTGTCACCAGTACTTTCATAATATTCTTTAACACTACCCTTGTCATCCGATGTCTTCTCATCGGACTTATCACTAGCAACACTGGGAGATTTGCTTCGATCAACAGGTGGTTCTAATTTGTCAGGAACAGGCGATGTCGATTTTTCAAATAATTCCGCTTTCTCACTCGCAATACTTGATGATCTAGATTTATCGACTGGTGGTTCCATCACGTCTTTAAAATCTGGTTTTTCCTCCGTAACACTGGTCGCTTTCGAGCCATCGACAGATTTCTTCTCATCAGACTTTTCACTTGTTATGCTTGGAGATTTGCTCCTGTCAGGTTCTTCCTTCTTATCCGGAATTGGCGATTTTGCTTTTTCTACTGATTCTTTCTGATCAGACGTAATACTCGTGGCACTAAGTGACTTGGATTTATCCAGCGACGATTGTTCTGTAATATCCGTTAGATCAGTACTGCTCGGCGATTTCGATCGATCATCGAGTCCCTTCGAATCAGTCATAGCACTCATTGCTGATTTTGATTTTTCATCAGATAGTTCTATGACATCCTTTAAATCCAGTTTCTCTCCAGCAATACTCGGAGATTTAGAACGATTAAGCGATTCCTTTTGTTCTCCTGTAATACTAGAAGATCTCGATTTCTCTGCGGTGACATCCTTCAAATCTGGTTTTTCTTCAGTTACGCTTGGCGATTTGGACCGATCTGCAGGTTCTGCAACATCTTTTAAGTCTATTTTTTCTCCTGCGATGCTCGGAGACTTGCTGCGATCAACTGGTTCTTTTTGCTCGCTCGTAACACTGATGACACTTGGAGATCTTGACTTCTCCATCGATATATCCGTCACATCCTTCATATCAGGTTTTTCGCCGGCGATACTGGGTGATTTTGAGCGATCTGGTTCTTTAGATTCGCTAATGCCGCTTGTTACACTCGGTGATCGTGATTTGTCTAATGGAGGTTGCATTATATCTTTCAAATCCGATTTATCTTCTTCAAGTTTCGGAGATTTCAACACATCTTTTGATATTTCAGGTGATTTCGCTACTGGAGACTGTTCCAGTTTGTCGTCTTTAGCACTTGTGACACTAGGCGATCGGGTTCTCTCGAAATCTACTTTTTCTACAGAAACGCTTGGTGATCTAGAACGGTCACTTACTTTCTTGCTATCTGATTTATCACTAGCTACACTGGGAGATCTATCTTTATCATGTGATTCTTCAGTCTTATCAATAGCTTTAGGCGAATCTGGCCTATCAAAAATAGGAGATTTTGGTTTCTCTAAATAACGTTCCGTCACATCTTGAAGGTCCGGCTTATCCGCAGCTATGCTCGGTGACTTGGAACGTTCGGCCTCTTTCTTCTCGTCGGATTTATCGCTAATCGCGCTTGGAGATCTAGCTTCGTCAATTGGTCCCTTTTCGTCATAATGTTCACTCTCGAAAATAGGCAACTTTTCACTTATCGTTTCTTTCTCCATAATACTAGGCGATTTCAACTTATCAGTTTCTTTCTCATCGACTTTATCACTTAAAATACTAGGGGATTTATCGAGAGATTTAATATCTTGTTCGGATTTTTCTAAAGATATTGGTAATTCTTTGTCTACGGCTGGTTTAATTTCTTTAATAGATTCAGGTAATTTTTTTATGTCTTTTTCAATAGCAATATCTTCTTCGGTAATAGGTACCTTTGCAAAATACATTTCAGATTTATCTGTGGGTGACTTCGAGAAAATTGTCTCAGCTGGTGAAACGTCCTCTGAATGGAGCGATTCAGGTGTCTTTGGAATACTAATCGCTTCTTCTTTCTTAGGTTCTGGAAGCATCTTCTCGATTGGAAATTTTGATTTTTCAGCTAATTCTATTGAAGATTTCTGCGTTGTTGTATCAAGAGGTGAAAAAGATCGTGATTTTTCGATTTTTTCAACTGGAGAACTAGGTTTTTCGATCTTTTCTTCAGCTGGAGATTTCACTTTTTCAATTTTTTCTGTATCTTCCTTAGTCGAAGATTTCGGTTCCACTTGTTCCTTTTTAGGCGACTTCGGAATATCTTTTTCGGCAATTTTATCTGATACCTCCAAGTCTTTTTCCACAGGAGATTTTGTAATATCTTCTAATTCCTGTGATACCTTTGGCTTATGCAATTCTGATTTTTCCAAACTGTCTTCAAGATCCTGTGAATCACGAGGACCAGCAGGTGACTTTTCCAAGCTGTCTTCCGGAGTAATCTTATCCTTACCTTCTGGCGCAGATTTTTCGGAAATACTATCCTTTTCGGGAGTACTTATGTCCGAACGCGAGTCTTTATCTAAAAGTAATGAATCTTTATCTGGTGTAGATTTAGCAGATACATCCTTAAGAGAATCATCTGGAGTGACGGTTTTCGTAAAAGTTATGCTGCCGTTTGGACAGATCTCAGTTTCCTCTCTACCATCCTCGCTACATGCTGTAACCAGCATCCTTTTAACAGTTCCATCGTCAAATGGTTTTGGTATATTTGCTGCTAATGTTTCTTGAGGGCTCTTCTCTTCCTTAGTTATTGGAGCTTCTTTAATTTCTGTGGTCTCTAATGGTTTAGATTTCTTGTCGTCTTCAAGTAATTCTACTTTCGGCTCTTGTGTGAAACCTGTTGCATCTGCGAGCTTTGTTTCTGTTTTCACTTCTTCAGCAACTTTTTTAAGTTGTAGTTCCTCGATTTCTTCTTTAACCGCAGGCTCAATCTCTTTCATTTCAAGTTTCTCGTCAATTATTTTTGAGCTTGGTGTAATTGATTTAGAAATATCTGGTGCGTCAATTGATGGTCGTTTATCGGAGAAATTTTTGGATGTTTCCTTACTTGAGTCTTCGATTGAAGGCTTTTCTACTTTGTCGGAGATTGATGGCGTCAATGTTGTAGCAGTCTCTTTCTGAAGAGTGTTATCTGTCTTTTCTTTAGCCTCGTCTAAATATTTCTCAGTAGTATCGACAATTTCCGATATTTCGGATATTTCCCGTTCTACAAGTTCTCGTTTCTCATCAATTGGTTTAATATCCTTTGCAATTTGAAGCTCTTCTATTCCCACCTTCCCTTTGGTTTCTTGCACGAACTTCTCGTCTGCTTCGATCACTTCACTTGTGGTATCTTCCACAGATTCTTCAATGTCTTCTTTTTCTTTCATCTCGCTCGCTTTCTCGGGAGATTGTACATCACGTACTTTATATTCCTGCTCGACAGCTTCGAAGTCGTCAATCACGTCTTTCTCATGTTCCTTCGTAACTGAAGACGGAATCTCTGAAATCGCTTTCTTCTTTATATCAGCTGTATCGGAAATCCTTCTGGGTATACTAACAAATCCATCCACTTCCTTCTCAACGTCCTCCTCTTCGGATGTGACCGATAACTCCTCTTCAGCGCTCATTTCTTGCTCAAGCACATCTTCTTTCTTATCTTTTTTTAACTCAATTGGACTTTTTTTCTCTTCAGTGCTGGACACTTCTGCGATCGGTTTCGTTTTCTCAGTCAGTATTTGCGACTCTGGTCGCTCTAGAATTGCTTCCTCCTTAATAATATGCGATAATTCTTCATCGGTTACACTAAGTATTGTATGTCTCGGAATTTTTCTGTTAATGATAATTTCTTCGATAATCTCAATAATGATTCTCTTAGGCACCTTCTTTTTACCACATATTTCTTCAAGTTTTTTAATATTAATGTTATCTCCCTTAGTAATATATTCGTTAATAATATATTCTTCAACTTCTGCTCTTTCTTGCAAAGTTATCGATTCCGTTTCTGGAATCTCTGTCTTCAGAACGCTAGGTGTCTCAGCGACTAATTTTTCTTTCTCATCTTCGGGTGTCTTTTTAGAAATTGCTAATAATTCTTCCTCCGTAATATCAAGTACCGTGTTCCTGGGAATCTTTTTTTTAATAATAATTTCTTCGATAATTTCAATAAGAATTTGCTTGGGCACTGTCTTTTGAATAGAAATGTCGTCGATTGTCGATGCGGTAATCTTTTTCCCTTTAGTAACATACTCATTAACGATAAATTCCTCAATAGGCTTAAACACGCCTTCATCGGTCAGTTTTTCTTCTCCGGTTGGAGCATCAGGAACTTCAGCAGCGAATTCTTGTTTCACAGGTATGTCTATTTTCTGTTCCTCTGTTATCTGTTCCTCTGCTGATTGTTCTGACGAATCTTCCGGCGATTTCTCTTGAATTATTTCCGATAATACTTCTTCAGGAACGTTTAATATCATATGCCTAGCAAGTTTTCTCTTAACAATGATCTCTTCAATAATTTCGATGACAATCTTTTTAGGCACAACTTTCTTAATAGAGATTTCTTGAACGATTTCTATGGTAATTTGTTTTCCTTTAACAATATATTCGTTAAGGATATATTCTTCGATCTCCATTCTCTTTTCAAGTGTAATATATTCCTTCAGCCTCAGAATCTCTGGATCGTCTATCACACTTTCTCTGGGAAGTCCCTTCTTCGTGATAATCTCTTCGATAATGTAAATCACCCTTTCTCTCGGGATGCGCTTCGTTACGATGATATATTCGATCACTTCGATAGTAACCTTCTTCTTTCTTGTGATAATCAATTCCTCGATTATTTCTTCAACTGGTACTTCCTTGCTGAGAATTTGCTTGATATCCTCTGGCAATTCACGATAACCAATTTCTAGTCCTTCGTCATATATCTTGTCCGTGACAAATTTTGGCGAAGTTGGCGTAGAACCAGGAGTCACCAGCACTATCTCCGCCTTCGCCGGCGAAATCTTTTGCTCGAAGCCGATCACGGATTCTTCTATCTCGTCCTCCAGCTTCTTCTCGAAAGATGGCCGTTTTGCTACTTCTTTCACGCATACGTCCTCGATACCAGCCTGCATTACATCTACTCGAGATGTATCATCGTCCGTTGGTTTTTTATGTTGATCGCAAATATGTTGATCATCTTTTAATATCTCCTCACAAATTTTTTGCGCATCTCGTTTATCTTTTGCCACGTCCTTTATAGGCGATGTTATTATATCGTCCTTTTCTTTCACCACTTTTACACAAGGTTCTTCTTTTACCTCGAGAGTATCAGGTTTCTCGTATGGAAGTTTGTCGGGCTTTTCAAATTTCTCAAGCTCTTTATGAACAGGGAATACTTCAGTAACATCAACTTTCTTTGGCATCACAATATCCTCGTGAGCAAGTTTGAGATCCTCTTCTTCTATTTTAGCAACCTTCTCTGGAGATATTTTTTCACTTGATATAGAAGGCTTTCTTTCCGTCAAAATTGGAGAGATTTCTTCTTTCGATGATTTTCTGTCCGTCGAAATCGGTGAAATCTCTTCTTTTTTAGGAGCTTGCTCGAATAACGTTTTGTCGAAAAGAAAATCGTCTTCTCTGAGAACCTCGGCAACTTTCTTCACAATTTCTATGACATCCTTGGGTTTATCTTCGAGCTCGATACCGGCAGTGCCAGCAAGGACTTCTCCGACATCCCTAACAGCTTCTTTCATGTCTCTATATGGACCCTCTATTTCCTCTTCGTATTCCTCTTCGAATTCTTCATCTTTTGGTATAGCAAACTTGACTTTCTCCGGTTCTTTTATGTCGGGCAAGTGGCTCTCGATATGTGGCTTTATTTCTTCCAATTTCTCAGCCACCCCTTCCAAAGTATCCTTTACTATATCTTTCAGAGCGGATGGCGTTTCATGTATCTCAGCTATCTCTTCTTTAATTTTATCTTCCAAAGATTCCAATGAATCTCTTAAACTATCTTTCACAGTTTTGAATTTTTTCGAAGCTTCTTCCAAAAGTGCCTTTACCTCTTCTACATCTTCTCCGATATCTTCTTCCTTCAAAAGTTCAATTTCCTTCGCAATTTCCTTGTCTTCAATTAATTTTGTTGGTGAAACGACGCCTGGTGATACGTCTTTTGCAAGAAATGATTCCTCGATTTTGGCTTCTACTTTTTTAATTTCATCTAACTTATCAGTAGGAAGCTTTTCTTCGATATCCGGCACACTCTTCCTCTGTGCATCCAATATCTCTTCCTGTATAAATGCCGAGGTTTCCTTGATGGCAGCTACTTTCACGTCAACAGTAGTAGGTTTCACCTCTTCGAATGTCTCGGGCTTGTCAACGACCTTGCCAATTTTAGGGAATACCTTCTCTATATCAACCTCTTCCAAGACCGTCTTCTCTTGCACTTTTGGTTCTTTTGGGGAACTTGATTTTGAGGAAGATTTTTCGTCGGAATCCTTCTCAGAATCCTTCTTTTTCTTGGTCAATTTATCGATACCTTTTTCAAATTTATCCGCTACCTTGCCAAAGAAACTAAAAACACCCTTCTGCTCTTTTGCAGGCGGAGTGGGCGATTTTTTATCTTCTTGCGCAGTTGGCGATAGTTTCTCCTCTTTTCCCTTCTCGAAATCTTCCATCCTGTAGAGCTTAGGATCGACTTCTTCATGAACCGGAAGATCAGCGACCTCGTCTGGTGTTTTAACAATGTCTCTTTGCAAATTCGGCATTGCCTGGCGAACATCAAATACTTTGACTTCCGGCTTGGCAGCCGCGATAACAGTTTCCGGAATGACTTCCTTTTTCAGCTTTGCAGGAGCATCCTTCTCTTTTACTTCTTCAATAACATGTTTCTCGTCAATATCCTCTTTTATTTCATCCAACGGTATTCGCTCGTCTTCTGGTAAAGTCGGAGCAGTTGTAGTGGCCCCCGATTCTATTGTCGAGATTCGCTCCTGAGACTCTTCCATCTTTTCGAGAATATTCTCTTTCTGATCGACATCCGGCTTTATGTCCGTATCGGTTGTTTTTTTCTCCGATGAATCTAATTTGTCCGGACTTAAACTGGATGGTTCTTTCGTGACGTCCTCGCTGTCTTTTTTACCGGAATCGTCCTTCTCTTCGACTTTCTGTACGATTTCGGCTGCGGATGCAATTATCTCTTTTACTTCTTCCTGTAATTGTTCCTTATGCTCCGAAGATAACTCAGCGATTTCTTTCTCTCCTTTATCCAAAATCTTTTCTACTTTTTTTTCCGGACTATCATCTTTTTCCTTCTCCTCAGGTTCCTCCTTCTCGCCCTTTTCCTTCATTGCCTCCACGTCTTTTAGTACTTTTGCCTTTTCCGACTGAGCTTCGTCAAGAACGTGCTTTTGTTCGCCTTCGCCGCTCTGAGCAGAATCTTCGGTGTAAACCTCTTCTTTCTCCACAATAAGATATTCGTCCTCTTCAGTCAATTCCTGACTTTCTTTTCTAGAACCTTCCTTCTTAGGTACATCTTCAATCTCGGCGGTCACATCCTCTTCTGTAATATCCTCCTCTTTCTTATCAGTGGCTTCAGCCGTGATTTCATCATCACCTTCAAAACGATCGTCCTTTCGGATTTCTTCGATTCTTTCCGCCTTTTGTAAAACAGCTTCAATTTCTTCCACTACCTCTCGCTCTTCTTTGAGATCTGCCAATACTTTACTTTCTATTGAATCTAATGATATATCTTCAGATTGTTCAATTAAGCTCTTATCAATCGGTTTTACAACTTCTGGTTCTATGCCAGATGGAGTGGAAACCGTGGATGAATCGGTAGTGCCTTTGTCGCCCTTCACTTTACGAATAACACCGTCTTTGTCCGATTTTACAGAAGCGGTTGGAGTACTGCGAGTAGATTTCGCCGGACTACCCGGAATACGGGCTTTATTGGGACTAACCGGTTTCGCGCGACGACTGATCGGCTTCCTGTCCATTGGTTTAGGTTTTGCGGTCACCTTGACAATTGGCGCTGCAGAATCCTTCACGGCAGACTTCTCGACTTCAGATTTCTTCTGTTCCACTACTTTCCTGTTGTTAGCTTCCTTAGCACTCTTGGCTGGAAGACTTGGAGCAACCTTGACCGCCGGTTTCACTTTCGGTACAGCTTTCGATATCTCTGTCTTTGTTGCAGCACCATTCAGAGTCTTCTTCGGAGTAGTCGGGGAGGATTTCACAGCGTCTCTTTTCTCTGCACCAGAAGGTTTGGCTTTTTTCTCAATCAACTTCGGCTTCGGAGTTACTTCGCTTTTCTTCAACTCAACTTTCACCTTGCTTTCTTTTGGTTCTTTCTTTTTTGGTTCTGGCTTGGGCTTTGGTTCCTTAGGTTCCTTAGATTCTTTAGGTTCTTTAGGTTCCTTAATTTTCTCGGGCTCCGCTTTGATTAAATCAGTCTTTTTCACATCGTCTTCTCGTTTTTCGGGCTTCTCCACTTTCTTGGGCTCCTTTTTCACCTCTTTCAGTTCTTTTTCAATTTTCTTCTCTTTTGCCTCAGTCTCGATCTTCTTATTTTCCACAACTTTCTTCGTCTTCGTTTCGGTCTTAGGTTTACTAGCAGGTATAATTGTCGATTGAGGGATGCTCTTGGGTATAGTCTCGTCTGCGGCCTTGATGGACTTGGGCTCCGATGGTTCTCTCTTCTCTTTCTTTGACTCCAAAATTTTCTTGGGTTCCCTCTCGATAAGACTAAGTTTTTGCTTGGTTGGCTTATCTCTGAGTGTCGCTAAAGACACTGACGGTGACAGAGTCTTCGCTGAACATACTGGATGCTTTAAAAAGTCCAAATGTTTTAATCGTTCAAAACCTTCGAAGATTTTATGTTGCGGCGTACTACCGGGAAAGAGAATCCGCGTGATGTTATCTTCGGGATTGGCCGGTTGCCAAACTAGAAGCGCGCATATCGACACAAGATTCTGTATCGGGAATGTGAGATTGTTCGAATCTTTCTTATGAGAACCTGCAAACAGCTTCGAATCTGACGTGTGCCACTTCGCCAAGAATTCGCGCACTTCGCGACTGTCCTTGCTCGGGCTGAGCACGTACATATCCAGCGTGCCGTGGCCCACCTTATGATAGAGGTTGATCGGATCGGGATCTCTGTAGCAAGGATGGGCGCGAAGATTAATGTGTCGAAGATTCATCACCATCTCTTGTCCAATATCAGTGAGATTGAAAATGAGCGGATCAATGTCCTTATCGCCGTCGGGTGAATTTGATTGTCTTCTTTCCTACATTATGTATATTTTTAATGAGAAAATATAGTGATTTAACGATTATTACGAAGAATTTTAATTATTATTGTCATAAAATATATTGAATTTTTTTTTAAATGAATTAAAAACAATGACTACTTACGACTAAGTTACAGAAGAAATGGCCGATCTGAGGATAGACGTGCATCTCCTTCTTCTTGCGAAGAACGCTAAACATGCCTCCGATGTTACTATTATTTATCCTAGTGACTAGAACAGCATCCAATCGGTCGAGATGCCTGGTGAAATCCCAAAAACATGCTTTCCTAGCAAAGCCGCCGTCGACGAGCATGTTGAAGCCGTTTATACCGAAAAGCGCGGCGTCACCTTGCCCACCGGGGAAGACGTATAAGGTTGGATGGCTAAATCTAATGTTTCCAACGACGTCGGACGGTTCCATGAGCTGATCCAGTGTTTGCGACACAAGGTACTGTCCGATGTAATTAGTAAAACTCATGATAGCTGGCACGCCGGCTGTGAGAACATCGTCGGGGTTTACTCTGACTCTGCAAGATCTGTTAATTAAAAGTACATGAAATATTTAAGAAAGAAGTATTATGCAATATATTATTTATATTTTCAATTTTTATTTTTTATTTTTTGTGTGCAATATCCTATCTTTTGTTATACATGAAACAGCTTCTATTATTTGACAGCAATTAAAATCGATCATGTAGAAAAATGTGCAAAAGAGATATACACCTGCAACAAGCCTCTTTCGACAATCGATTTGTCGTCCAATCGCCGACACCCGCGCAATGTATATCTACGGTAACGCTATTCTCGTAGGCACGAAGGACTCTTTGCACCTCATGTTCGCTGAACGCATCCAGAAAGTCTGCGAGACTGAAGGTTCCATCCTGAATATTAAGAATTGTTTGTCGTTTTGTAATTCAAGACTATTCTCTACTAATATTTCGCACAATTATTAATTAACGTTTCATTTTTGGCAAATAACAATCGAATTTATTTGTACAAAGTGTAAATACCTGTAGTATCCAGGAACCATTACCACCGAATGTGTATCCAGCGTGTATGATGTGCCGATGTTTCGTGAAGCTTGCGAGGAGATTGCGAATACACTGTAATAATGTATTCGTCTGTGGGTGAATGAGAACTTCCGTTACGAGGTTCTCGGTGGCATATTGAATCAATCTTTCGCCTGAAAATTTCATTTTCATTAATAACTTATATGACAATAATAATTAATAACTTCTACGACATAATAATAATTAATTATTCATAATATATCATAAAACGAATCAAATCAACATGTTTGTGACAATAAATTACCATTTCTGGCTTCTTCGCCTTCGGGGGCTTGCGCTACTAAGGCCAATAATTCCTTCTCCAGATCTACGTGACAACTGTCCTTGTCCCATGATAGAAAACCTGTAACAATCGAAGAAAAAATCGGTTAAGTATAACTGAATTTTTGAATCTTCTTACTCTATACATGTTAAGCAGATATTGATATCGGAAAACTTGTGGAATGGAATTTGCATATAAATCACTGTTCATCTTCAAGATTGAGTGTAACGTTAGGTATTCTGGTGACATGCTCTCATGAACTTGGCCAAGCTTTTCTGAGCTCTGATATTTTGAACGGAAACTAGGTTGTTCTCGTTTTAGATCATCACTGTGTATGCGCGATTATGTTGAATTAGAGAAGTCAGCTCACCGAAATTCACTGTAAGCAATTATCTATCTTGAAAATATATGAACAACAGAGAAAATACATAATCAGGGGATTATAAATGTTATTCAACTTTATAATTTTTCTAAAAAAGTCTTTTTAAATATTGAAAGAGAGAGAGAGAGAGAGAGAGAGAGAGAGAGAGAGAGATTAAGAGAGATATTTTAAATATTGCTTAAAGTATTTTTAAACATGGCCGAGTATAAGATGTTTATAGGTGAATGGAATAGTAGGTCATAACTGCGTATAAATGTGTAAGGCTGCAGTGGTTTGGCTTCATAGAATAGGGATAGTTCAGCCATCGAGTGATGTAAGGTTAAGGTTAAGATGTTAGAGACTGTCAAGACTAGTTATAGATTGATTGATGAGAAAAGTAAATTAAGTATTACATTATAACACACACAATTTTCTCTGATGTTTTATCAACAAACGTATCGGATGTAGATTGAAACGGATATAAAAAATAATACATTTTTATTTATTTATATTTGCGCTGATTTACAATTACAATTGTGATAAAGTGATTTGACTTTACGTTTAAAATTAAAAAATACCGTTTATATAAAAATTAATGAATTATTTTTATTCAAGGCAGAAACAAAAATTTATATTATAAGATATAATTAATATCTGGTAAGAAATTGAATAATTATCTATTTATAATATATTATTATTATTATTATATTATTTATTATTAATAAATTAAAATACTTGTAAATGTTCATTTAAAATTTTAGAATAATTATATTTTTACTATACGAATATAAAAGATTATAATATAATAAATACGAATTACGCACAGTTAATGTAAGAAAAGAAAAGAGAAAGTGTATCTCAAAACTTAATTGAATAATTAGGATGAATGAATCAGCAGTTGCAGTTTGTCATAAGGGTTGCTTGGGGCGGTCGTTTTATGACGTCACCAACACCGCACCCCGTCACGTGGTTCCTTACCAGCTGGCAATCGATCGTCGCACATCCTGTACCCACCCTCTATTGCCAACTTTAACGCAGAGATACTTCACTTTTGATATCATACAAAAATTTTCCGACGCTGTCAGTCAAGATAAAAAATTGTAAAATAATTATAATGAAAACAATAAGAAAAAAATTAAGAAGACCAAAAAAAAAAAATAAAAGAAATTATTCTTAATAATGACTAATATGACTAATACGTTATTATTGTGCTTTATAAATATGTTGAATGTATCAAATATATGTTTATTTATTAACTTATAAGATATTGATAGCGCGCAACATCTTATATATATCTTTAGAATCAATTCTCTACAATTTTTGTAAATCGATTTTATCACTCAATATTTCACGATTCAATCCAAGTGCAAGGCTTTTCTTAGATTCTTAGATTCACTTTCACGGAAATATTAAAGAAAATTTCACCTAAAATCTTGTATGGAATTAAAGAATTGATGATACAGCATAATGGAATGTAACTCGTTGCCAAGGGAGTTCGGACTCGATCTCGCGTAATTCTATACTAGCGTGTACACAGACAAGTCTGGTTCGAGACGTTGCTTGGCAACGTCGTAGTATCAATCAATGCCGAGGATAGAGAGGAGCCGGGGAAAATTAACGAAAAAGAAGAAAAAAGGAGAAGAAAGGCGCGAGCAGAAGGCGTTAGTTGGTGCAACGAATTCCGCGCGGCTTCCTCCCTGCCTCCAATTTTATCCCGCAATAAGTAAATACGTGTTGCATACTTTCCAGTAAACGTGGACGCTATTATTAGCAGTTCAACTGACGAAATATATATCGCATTTTCGCGAAATTACATTCGAAATAGCGAATACGCGAAATATGAATTATGCGAACACGCACGCACATTGTCAAAACGAACCGAACTCATTAATTGATCAATTACATTCCAAAGCTTTCTGTGCAATTTCGGCTGTATTATAGTTTTTGAACAGTTAAATCTTCAGATGGTTTAAGTCGATTAATGTTAACAGAAAAAATGGTATATGCGATAAATTGAAAGGATCGCAAGTCCATTATATCGAGTTTTATCTGACATCAAAAAGTTACATTGTTAGAGCAGAACACACATCGAGCTCGACGTGTCAAACTGATCGGAAGCCCTAAAGCTGATACAAGAGAAGCCGTTTCTTAATGCTCATAGCTGAGTGCCGTTAATTCTCACTGACCCCTATAGGTTTTGACTGCGATATCAATATCAGAAGCATCGCAATCACAAACGAGTCCGAAAATTTGCATAGAACAAATCTTCTTGAGCGAAACGTTTGGTCACGTCAGACTCGATTTTTTTCAAGATCAAGATATAAAACGTATCGGTCAAGATTCGAAAACAATTTTTTAAATGCAGATTTCGTTTGCTATGAGCACGCAAAAATAATCTCTGCATTTATTAAAAGAAATAAATTTATCAAAATTGTGATTTTTATTCATAATCGCATCATGACGCAACTTTGTCAATTCTTATTGATCTATTTAATATTGACGAATTAATGGAGGCGGATTAAAACTTAAATCACATCTTCACACACATCTGAAACATGTTTCATGTTTTATTTACATTTGTAGCTCTCGCTTTAGATAAATAATATTCTTGCGAGAAGCAATGCAAGTGTGAGTCTTTTTTCTGTTTATTTACTAGAATGAATCTTCTAACTTCTAATTGGTATCAACATGCTGTGTGATATGTTACCTTACCGCGTTGGCTGCTAATTTACTATTTTTAATGATGACTATTTAATGAACTCGATCGTTCGAAATGGATAGTGTTAATCCATCGATGACTATCATGTCTAATCATGGTAATCATTTAATCAATTAACAGAATCAAAATACCATTAATTAAACCGCATGAGAACATCGGCAATGCGAATCGATTGTTCAATGATTCTTCAAGTACTAATTAGTACAAAAATAGAATGAAGAACATCGAACAAATCAATTCTCGAGCATTCCGGGCTTTAGAAATTCTTTTCCAATTTTCGAGACTTGTTTTCCAAACTCACTAAATACTCACAGAGCGTTCACTTTTGTAAATTTATTTTATAAACGGCAACAAACCGAAGATAAATATGGTTTACAACTGCAGTTAAAGGCAGCCTGGTCGTTAATTGAAACAGATGTTTTAATTAAATTGCCCACGGGCTTTATCCGCGAATTTCCGTTCGACAGAATAAGCCATCGCGCCAATCAAAGAAACCGCGCGGAATTTAAAGCTCTGAGTAATCAAATAAATCGTGCGTTAAAAAAAGCAAAAATATTTAGCTATGAGTTTCGATAAGTAAAATGAAAAAAACCTTGCGACGTTAAAGTGTGGCTCGAATGATATCTGCCGTCGAGTGGACGAAAAATGGCGCTGGATAATCCGTCAGCGATTTATCTCGCGAATACTAAAGGGCGCCGTTCGTTCTACCGAAAATCCCCGGCTTTAATCCCGTACGATATTTTGTCATCGTCCAGATTCGAGTACGCGAGTACGTGTGAGCGCACATACACGCAGCGCACATTTTCACGGAACAGACCGCGGACGTCGACGTATCCAGCGTATTCCACGGTTTCCTGCTTTAGAGCGTGACGTTCTGACACGCCACTTGTGCCATACGCACAATGGGGATGTATCTAAATAGGCGATCGTCGTGTGAAAAGTGTAGGAGGACTATTCACGATCGACCGTGGTAATATATACGGCGCACGTCGCAATATATTACATTTACAAAAAGGGGAAAAAATCCAAGGCCAGCTTTATCTAACAAGGTTTTCTCTTCGTACCGCTAACTCGATCGTCCTCCCTGACCTATAATATTTCTGCTCCAAGCGATGTTTTTCTCCTTTCTAACTGGCGTCGCAAAAATAAAAATGCCGCGAATGAACGTGATTAGATGTAATCCGATGTAATCGTCGCTCAAAAAATGTTCATCTCACCCTCATAAACTTACAAAATATGTAGAAGAAATATTTGACACTCGATGTCCCTATGGATTAGCAACTTAAGCTAAGTATAGACAAAACTGCGTTTCCTCGCGGTAGCTCCCGCCTCGCGCATCCCTTAAAGCACTCGCGTTTCTCGATTTGCACATTTGACTTTTCTTTTTTCTTTTTTTTTTTCTTTCTTAGACCGACGACGGATGCCGCGAATGCTGGGTTTGTCCCGACTATGTTTAGAAATGGTTTCTCGTTGTCCTGCTCGCATGCGCCTACATGTGTGTAATGAGTACACGTGCGACATGAAGTATCGCTTTAACAGCCGGCAAAAGAGATCGTTACACATGTAACTGTACTGTATATATTATATCGATTCAAATTTCTCTCCTAAAATGTAATAACATTT